CACACATACAGACACACACACACCGACACACACACACATACACACACACACACCGACACACACACACCGACACACACACACATACACACACACACACACCGACACACACACACACACACACATACACACACACACACATACACACACACACACATACACACACACACACACCGACACACAGACACACACACACATACACACACACACACATACACACACACACACATACACACACACACACACCGACACACACACACACACACACCGACACACACACACCGACACACACACACCGACACACACACCGACACACACACATACAGACACACACACACCGACACACACACAGACACACACACACACACACACACACCGACACACACACATACAGACACACACACACCGACACACACACACATACAGACACACACACCGACACACACACCGACACACACACACCGACACACACACACCGACACACACACCGACACACACACACACACACACACACAGACACACACACACCGACACACACACACACATACAGACACACACACACACACACCGACACACACACATACAGACACACACACACCGACACACACACACATACACACACACACACCGACACACACACACCGACACACACACACACACACACACACACACACCGACACACAGACACACACACACATACACACACACACACATACACACACACACACATACACACACACACACACCGACACACAGACACACACACACATACACACACACACACATACACACACACACACATACACACACACACACACCGACATACATACACACACACACCGACACACATACACACATACACACACACACCGACACACACACACACACATACACACACATACACACACACACACAGACACACACACATACACACACATACAGACACACACACATACACACCGACACACACATACAGACACACACACATACACACACACACACCGACACACACACATACACACACACACACATACACACACACACCGACACACCGACGCACGCTGCCACACTGGCAGTGCATGCACGAGCAGTCGCGTTGTTGTCGCGTTAAACTCCTTGGCGAGCTGCTGAGATGGGGAGGCGGTGGTGACGGTGGTGGTGGTGGCGATGATGATAATGATGATGTGGGTCGCCCACACCGCTCATCTTTTCTCCTCCCCTCCCAATAGCTTCTCCCCCCCACCCCCCCCCCCAATTTGGCCAGACCAGCACTTACCGATCTTCAACTCCACCCCCCCCCCCCCCCCCCCCCCCCCTCTAGACGAGCATGTAGAGCACCCGTCGATCAGAGCGGTGCTTCATTCGCGAATCGCCTCCAGCGCTAAGAGGTAAAGACATCACCATCACCATCACTCACTCATCTCTTTCCATCTACTCCTCTCCACGTGCTGTTCATCTTTGAGCACCGGCTGCTCGTCTCGGCTATGCACGTATGTTGAACTTATTTTTAGCGCCGTACGTAGCCAACCGTGCTAATCGGAGGTGCGGGGGAATGACAACAAACTAGACACAAACAGCAGTTCTAATGCAATGGGTTTTAAATCTTGACGATTTAATAGTGCACAGCTCCAGTGGCTTCCGAATGTCGTAAGGAAGAGCGTTCCAGACGGCCGCAGAAGCGCATCTCAAAGCGCGCGATGCAGTGACCATCTTATCATCAGCAATATTAACCGTGGCTTATCCACTGCTGGATAAAAGCATCCCTCGCCAAACCGAGCATGCGATGCAATTATACATCATCATCAGCATCATCATCATCATCATAATATCTAGCTCGTGCAACGCAATCCTATTTTATCGCTCCATCTCCCAGCGGGGGACGAGCTCTCGGCCCCGTCTCGCTTCTTTGGATGCCACTCAGCTGTTAAGTGTCGACCACTTGAGCCGTCATCCCTTCAGCGAGCGATATCTACTTCCTGAGGTTCTTCTTCACAACAAATCAACGTGGTGTCTCTCACGTGTGTATTTCATGCGTTCCACGTGTCCATCCTCTCTGTAGTGCAGAGTTAATCTGACGTCGATCTACCACCAGTGATCTATTCGGACTAGAGTTAGAATTCAAATTTTCGAATGAGCACGTGGAGCAAAATTCCATTTTATCATCGAATTCTTGTAAATCTTTGCAACTATTTGCGTGTTTGGTAGACTATAAAATGAATGATTTTGTACCCGGCCTCTCTCTCTCTAGCTCTCATCCCTATGGAGACAGAGACGACCTTCCCTAGCAGGACTCGCCCCCAACAGTCTGTTTAAAGCTGTACGGGGAATCTTTGTCTTTGCTATCATAATTAATTCACTAATTAATGTTTTCCGTCTTGAGCTACCGCTGCTGATGCTGTTGCTGTTGTTGTGAAATCCGCAGTCCACGCGGCGCTTTAGTTCCACAGAGTTTACAGGGTTCAACAAGGCGCCAATTAGGACATGACGTCAACTCTTATTTGTTTTCAGTTTGGTAAACAAATCGTGCCCGCCTCTAGCCCGATGCCTACCAGACGATTTAACATTGAACTTTGAACTCAACGCATTCGTCAATAACACCGTGACCTTCAAAAAGGGGGGAAACACACCTTAATAAGTGACGTGTCAAGCAATTGACCCTGTTCATAACTGAGAGATAACGATGCGGACGGTCACGTATATTTACATGATTTAAAAGGCCACGGTGGTATTGACGAATGTTTTGAGTTTGTGGCCGTCTCTGCTCGTGCAGCGCTGCCAACTGAAAGTGCTGGGCGTTTCTGGAAGGGTGATGCTCGGTAGAGCAAAGTGGTGGCGTTATTTCCTGTGCGTAAGTTGAACTTATTCTGCTCCGTTCGTTGCCAACCCTGCTAATCGGAGGTGCGCGGGCTGCAGTGAGTTTTGTAGATCGCGGTCGGCGCTTAAGGCTAGGACTGTTGATTACGGCCACCGAGGAGATGGAACGATGCCACAGCTGTCAATCTATACGGTTTACCCCGTATTCTTGTACAGGGAAATTGAGTTTTCAGCTACATACGGCGTGCAGCCGTTTCAATTACGGGCACACATTGTGATTGTGTATTTGTTTGTGTTTCTCTACTTGTGATAGGACTTTGTAGGATGAACGTTGAGATTTATAAGGGGCACGGGGTGACCAATAAGGTCTGAATTGGTCCGTAATCAGGTAGGGCACTGATAAGGAGTTGACAGGTTTGCACTGCAAACTGCTCATGTGCAAGTTTTTGGTGGATTATTGTTGTTGTTGTTGTTACATTGTGGGACTTCGGGAGATAACGGCAGTTTAGAAAGGCCTTCAACTAGCAGTGGATCGACCATCATCATGAAAATGATTTATAAAACTAATGCTAGCAATGGAGCGAGTCTTAGGCTTAATCATCTTGCTGGCGCGAGCCAGCAGGTGGCAACTTCCACACATATATTGCGGGGAAAGTTTTCCCATACGACGACCAATGTTCATGTCTCGGGATATGAACGTATTGAAATGAGCATGAAGGCTAATGAGTGCTTTGTGCCGACTGTAACTGTATCTTTAACCCAAACCCGATGCTCAATCCTGACTCTGCTCATGACACATTACCCTATACGCATTGCTCTATCACCATCTATAACCATGCCTTTATCCCCAAACGTACACTACTATCCTTAACCCTACTCCCATCCAAAACCCTCTCCTTATCATTGATAACCATAACTCAACACCATCACTAACCCAACACCTAACCCTAACACCCGACACTATCACTAACTCTACGTTATCATTAATCCTGAACCACCATCTTAACCCCCGACACAACAATGAACCCTGACCCATTAAAATACCATGAAATATCACCCGAGCATCATCCCCAACCCTCATCCTTGCTCGGAGTCAGAGACGCCTACTGCTGCATGGTTCAACCCTTAATTTCGTCGCAACGCAATTACCCCTAAGTGCGTGTCCGTTTTCGAGAGAGAGAAAGCCAAGACCAATTAGAGTGAAACGCAACTTCAAAGGCCCATTAAACAAAGAGGAGGAGGGAGAGAGAGTGGGAGAGAGACAGGGGGAGATAGGGAGGGGACGGGAGGCGGTGTTGGGAATCAGGGTAGCGCAGTCTGGGGTGATGGAACTTCAAGGGGGACTTCGGGTGAAAGGTCAAAATCGCCTCCGGGAAGATAGCATCGGGTCAGAGGCACCGAGTGGGCACCGATTACAATCCTGGGTTCAAATCCGGGGGTTCAGCCGCCTTGTGCTTATAACGGGCTCTGGCGTGTGACGAGTTGAGAATTATGATGATGACGGTGGTGGTGTTACTTAATTCGTTGTTTGGGGAGCCGTGGCACGTTGATTTACGTGCGCACTGCGCTATGAACCTGAACTCCTCAGTTCGATTCCGTGGCCCCTGCTAACGTAAGTAGCAAGTGATATCTTCTTGCCAACACCGTAATCGACTCGTAAGTCTGTTGCGTACGCGTGGCGCGTTACTTGATGTAGCACCAGGCAAATCTCGACGAGTCTCGAGACGTTATTTTCACAGGAGGTCCCCCGCGTGTGGAATTATAAATTGGCCAATTCAAACGAACACCCTCAGTTATACCTCCTCTGAGCCAGCGGTGGGAAATTCCACATTTCCATGACGGGAGACGGGGGACAGATTATCATCAGGAGGACCACGGGTAAGTATTTATCTTGGAGAGAGCGGGGATGTGTGTGAGGGAGAGGTTATCCAAGTGACGGTCGTGTAGCGACCCGAGTTCGATTCCCACTCACGGCCACCAACACCCAGTGGCGATTGTCTAAATCGGTCCTGGGCCCTCCCCTAGGTGGACTCAGCCTCAAATAAGCACTGGGTGAGGTGTGTAAAAACATCGCCACTGGGGAGACAAAGACGGCCGGGCGTTGTGCTGACCGTGCCGGTCATCATAGGCGCTCGCTCACAGCACTTAGCCCCCACCAGTTCGTTAAAGGCTCTTGGGGCTGGGGGGGATCTTCGTCTCTGTGCAGGGCGAGGATGTTGCTGCTGCTGCTGCTGCCGCTGCTCGTGTGCGGCCTCTCGCCTTCACTCTCCTTGGCGCTCCCAACCTCAGCTCCGCCTCGCTCCGCCGCCCCCGTCCTGGCGCTCCCACCCAGCGCCCTGGACGGTGAGAGACGCCGGGGCAGCGGGGGGCTCGGTGGGGGTCTCGGTCTGCCTGTCCGCTGGGGCGCGTCTCGTACGGCCCGAACGGCTTTGCCTCATCCCCCACCACCCCCCCCCCCCCCGCCCCCCCCCCCCACGTGCTTTCGAATGCTCCCCATGGTTTACAGCGGCATCCCATTGACAGAGGACATTTACGTAATAATCTGAATGTGATTGCGGGTACTGTTATATACTGGGAGGAATCCGATGAGCTATGAAGCTCTTCTTCTTGGGTTCTTTCGGTAAAGTCACGTAGAATGAGAATAAAATAATAAATTTATAAAAATAAAATAACACAATAATATTCTCAGCGCTGTCCTCCAGACAGTCTCGTCCCCTTCACCTGATGAAGGCCACTTGTGTTGTGGCCGAAACGTCGTGAGAATATTATTGTGTTATTTTATTTTATAAATTTATTATTTTATTCTCATTCTACGTGACTTTACCGAAAGAACCAAAGAAGATGAATCCTTGCAGTCACGAAAGCTTTAAATCGAAGCTATGAAGCTCTTTTTTCACACATGTCCAGCAAGGGCTGATCAGTAACGTTACTTAAGGAATATGTCCGTCGCTCAGGAGATGGAGCGATGTAATTTGTCGTCGCATGAACATCGTTAAGAGGTGGCGACGGGATCGGGGCGGGGGAGGCTTAATCCAGCAGTGGATTAAACATGTCTGATGTGAACGTTGGTCAATCCACTCACAGACACTGCTGCTGATTGTGATGACGATGGTCGTGATAACGATGTTCTCACGATGATGTTCAGGAAAATGATGACGGATGATGTTGATGTTCTGCCTGTGATAGTGGTGAAATGATATGGTGATCGAGTGATGATATTCTTGTGCCGGTGATGAGTGAAGCAATGATGAGTGGTGGTGGTGGTGGTGGTGGTTATCATTAGTGTTTTGCCCATGATGGGAATGTTCTGCAGGTGACGACGATGTGATGATGTTGGAGATGTGACGATGATAATGGTGATGATGTCGATGGTGATGATGTTTACGATGCGGATGATGTGGATAATGATGTTGACGGTGGTATTGGCAATGTTTGTGGTGCTTATGGTATTGATGATGATGCTGATGGTAATGATAATCATGTTGTCGACGATGATGAAAATAGTATTGACGATGATGATGGTGCTGATGGTGATGATGATGGTGATGTTGATGATGATGTTGGTGCTGATGGTGGTGATGATGATGATGGTGCTGATGGTGATGATGATGCTGGTGCTGATGGAGCTGATGGTGCTAATAGTGATGATGGTGCTGATGGTGATGATTATTGTTCTGGTGCTGATGGAGATGGTGCTGATGATGATGCTGGTGCTGATGGAGATGGTGCTGATGGTGCTAATAGTGATGATCATGGTGCTGATGGTGATGATGAAGACGGTGCTGATGATGATGCTGGTATTGATGGAGATGGTGCTGATGGTGCTAATAGTGATGATGGTGCTGATGGTGATGATGGAGATGGTGCCGATGATGATGCTGGTGCTGATGGAGATGGTGCTAATAGTGATGATGATGATGACGTTGTTGCTGACGGTGCTGGTGATGTCCGGTGTTGCCGATGATGCCGGCGATGTTGACGATGGCGATGTTGGTAAAGTAATGGCGCCGGTGATGTTGACGATGGGTGCTCGGTGATTGGTGCTGTGCTTGCAGTGCTCTCGGAGCGCGGCTCCGCACTGCTCCGCGCCTCGCGCGAGTTCGCGCTCTCCGCGCTCAGCGTCTCCACCGCGAGGCGCAATCGAGAGCTGCTCACCTGCTACGGCGCAGGTGCCGTCTTCAGCAGCAGCAGCAGCAGCGTTGTCATCAGTAGTATCATCATCATCAGCAGCAGCAGAATCATCATCATCATCATCGGCACCGCCGTCGTCATCAGTAGTATCATCGGCATAATCGGGAACAGAGTCATCATTAAAGCTATTCCCCGCTCTTAACAACAGGAGAATGACAATCTCATTCATTGATTATTAAAATAAGAATAGGCGTTATTCCTTCTACCAAACACGTATTATTTCTTTCATATTTTGATACTGGTAAAAAAAGGTCCCATGATAATTAATGATTGTCCCAAACATCCTCATAATTAATATCATCAGCACCTTCATGATTACAACCACTACCTTTAGCACAACTCTGCTTTCATGATCATCACGCTGTCCTCCATCAACATCATTATCACCATTGCCACCAAAAAGAATAAATCACACATTTCCACATCTTACAACCACCAACATCATCATCATCATCATAATAATCACCATTACCACCCACAACCACCAGTCCTATCCGGGACCTATGTGCCCACCCGTGTTTGTCTCTCCCCTCCCCTCCCCCCCAACAGCAGCTGGTCTCACAGGGGCAGAGCCCAGCTGCTCAGAGATGGCGGCGGCAGTGGAGGAGGAAGAGGAGGAGGCGACCCCGGGTCCCAGACGACAGGGAACGGGGCCAGAGACGGCGTCTCTGACCTCGAAGACGACGATCTCCTGGGACGAGCCACCCCCGACTTCCGGCCCAGAGGCCTCGGGCCCCGTGCAGGGACCCCTGGCCCCCGTGGAGGGGTCCCCGCGTGGCTGTGCGCGCTTCGTGCGCCTGTGCGAGGCTGCCCGCCTCTCCGAGTCCGCGTGCCGCGACCTCGTGCGTGAGCGCTGCGACGCGAGGAGGCGCGCGTGCGGTACGTCACTCGGTCGACTCAACGTGTATGTTGGACTTCTTTCGCGCCGTACGTAGCCAATTGAGTTCAATTCCCGGTCGGGAGTCAATCCAAGCCCCCGACATTTTTTATTTTTGTGTTACCAAATAAGACCCACTGAGCTATGTATAGTTATTTTTCAGAAGCGACCTGGCTCTCACACATCATGATTGCTCGACGAAGTGGCTTATCGCGTGGACATTTATAGCAGCAGAATGCTCTAAACGCGTGATGTTGATTGTAAATATGGAGGGAAAGACCGGAGGCCCCGGAGAAAAATCCACGTGACCACGGGAAGAAAGAGAGAAATGTAAACTCCAAATATGTGTCAGGGTCACCGATAACAAATAAGCACCACGTTTGTCAACCGCTGTCATTCTAAAGCATGCAAAGTGTTGCCTCCTGCCGCAGGAATGTGGCATTTCCGCTCGTTTTAAAAGGCCAGGATAAACTTTCGACCTCTTGACCTTTCAGATCTGGCTGTCGCAAGCGAAGAAGCGACCGACGCCGGTGGTGGCGACGTTGCCACGCCGACCCCGGCTCGAGGCGCCCGGCGGGCAACACCGGCCGGGCCGGCGCTGGGCACAGTGAGGAGGGGCACGAGGCAGCGCGGTGTCGGGGTGCCCCGCATCGTGGGGGGCACGGAGCCCCCCCGCGGCGCGTTCCCGTGGCTCGTGTCGGCGCGCCTCCGTGGGGCGCACGCGTGCGGCGCCGTGCTGGTGGCCCGCAGGTGGGCGCTCACGGCGGCGCACTGCTTCCACAGGTGGGCGCCAGTCCGGGCAACCGCTCACCCTGGGCCCTCCACGCTTTAGCTGGGGTCCGCTCGCCCGGGGATAAGTTTACTCGTCTGGGTTGTCTCACCCTTGGGATGGGCTCGGCTCGTTCTATCTCCACCCGGGCTCGCTCTCATCTGGGCCCTCACCTGACGTCTCACCTGGGGTCTCACTCTATCATACCTAGGCTTCGATTGAAAGCTTTCGTGACTGCGGGGATTCATAGTCTTGGTTCTTTCGGTAAAGTCACGTAGAAGGGAAATAATTAAATAATGAAAATAAAACTATGTCTCACGACGTTTCGATTGCAACACAAGCAATCATCATCAGGTGTGAAAACCGCAGAAACGCAAGCAATCATCATCAGGTGTGAAAACCACGGCAAAATTTTCTTGCTGTGGTTTTCACACCTGATGATGATTGCCTGTGTTGCAATCGAAACGTCGTGAGAATTTAATTGTTCAATTTGTATTATTTTATTATTTACCTTCTACGTGACTTTACCGAAAGAACCAAGAATATACATACCTGGGCTGTGACGTGAGTGGCCACGAACGGGGTTTGGTGGACAGAGAGTTCTGCCAATTGATCACGTGTCTTGGTTGAGCTTCCCGTAATGTGCTAGCTGCTAGGGATCATGGGGCCCGTGACCCTTGGCTCGACAAGTGTTGACCTCCATAACCCCCGCGTCGATTGTCCCAGGAGCAAACGTGAGGACGACTGGGCGGCCGTCCTGGGGGAACATGACCTGGTGGAGACCGATCCCTTCGAGTCGACCATCGCTATCAACCGCATCATCATCCACCCGCACGTAAGCCTCACACACAGCAACACCAACAACGACAACAGCCGCCGTCATTCGCCACTACGCAGCGGTGGTGACACCACGACGCTTGGATGGATTCCATCATGTGTAGCTTGTAGCTTTCTGATTATAACAGACTGGTGGAATCTGTCACAGATAACAGTACTTCATCTTAAAAGCCATCCACTCCTCCATAAATTGTATTTATTCCATAAATGCTTAATATCCTGTTCGCAATTTCGTTTGAAAAGACGTGTACTTTTTATTTATGTATGTATGTTGAACTTCTTTCGTACCGTACGTAGCCAACTGTGCTAATCGGAGGGGCTGGGGAAGGGCAACAAACTAAACACAAAAACAGTTCTAAAGAAATTAGTTTTCAATCTAGATTTGAAAGTGCATAGCTCCAGCGGCTTCCTAATATAGTAAGGAAGAGCGTTCCAGACGGTCGTATAGGAGCGCGCCTGAAAGCGCGTGATGCAGTGACCATCTTTGTCCGATGGCTACGAATTTTTACTTATTTTTTATTTAATCTCAATCGAATAACCAGCGCCGTCTCGCATCATAAAGTGATTTCGGTAAACCCGGTGCCCGCGTGTACCCCCTGTCCTCCAGTACGACCCTCGCTCCTTCGACTGCGACGTGGCGCTCCTGGAGCTGGCTCAGCCGGCACCGCTCAGCGCCCACGTCTCCACGCTCGCCCTGCCCCCCAGCAGCCTCCAGCTCCCGCCCGGCACCCCCTGCACCGTCGCAGGATGGGGCACCCTGCAGGAAGGTGAGCGGGCACGAGCAGTTATGAGGGGCCTGAGGCCGATAGGAGGGGAAGGGTCTAAGTCCGTATTGCATATTGCAACGAAAATTACGAAGTCAACAAACATCATGATTTATTTAGCTATGTAATTTTTTTTTACCAGTGCATTTTACTCAAGATACGTTCAGCAAATTATATTGCCACTTTGCACATTGCAATTTCATTCACGTTTGTCATCGCTATCTCGATAACCCCATCTCGTACACCATTCTGAATCAAAATATTTATAGTCGGAGGAATCCGATGAGCTATAAAGCTCCTTTTTTTACAGGTGTCCCGTCGTATGTAACGGGTCAGAACGTTACTTAATCAATATTACCACCACCCAGGAGATGGAGCGATGAAATCTGTTTGAGCGCAGGCGCTGGGGGTGGATTGTCGCGTCGCGTGATCATCGTTAGAGGTGGCGACGGCATAGGGAGGGCCTTCATCCAGCAGTGGATTGAACATGCCTTATAATGTGTACACGCACACGCACGCGTTCAGCCCGTTGGTCAATCGACTTCCTAGTCCGTGCCGCACAATCACCGCGGTACAATCTGCAAGTGTCACGTGCTCTGCTGCTGCTGCTGCTGTCCTCCTCTGCCGCCCGCAGACGGGCCCGGCTCCCGGGTGCTGCTCGCCGCGCGGCTGCCCCTGCAGCCCCAGTCGCTGTGCCGCTCTGCGCTGGGCCCGGCCCACGTCACGGCGGGGATGCTGTGCGCCGGTCGCATGGACGGCGCCGCCGACACCTGCCAGGTGGGCACGCAACGGCGGCAACCACAGCCACAGCCACAGCAACGCACGCACGCACGCGACACAGACGCCGACTAAACCCCGTTGGCAGTCGACGGGCTGTTGGCGGCAGGCGATGTTCAGAGAGCACCTGCGAAGGTCCGGTGATGGCACACGCAGGGGGTGGTGTGGACGACGCCACGACCGGCCGCCTTTGTCTCCCCCCCATTGCTGATGTTTACGCACGGCACCAGGGTATATATTTAAGGCTGAGTCGACCTCGTGGAGGCCCAGCACCGGGTCAAATATTCTCATACTCTTTGGTTCTATTGGGTAAGGTCACGTAGGTAAAAAAATAAAATAACAAAAATCACAAATATTCGCATGTTTGTTGAAGTTCTTTCGCATCGTACGTAGCCAACCGTGCTAATCGGAGGTGCGGCACTGTTTTTGGTCGCAAGCGGGAATGGAACTCGGGTCGCCGGGTTCGTAGCGCAGCGCGCTAACCACTGCAGCAGACAACACTTTGTGAATCCACTCCTGGATGAGGGCATCCCCATGCCGTCCGTATCGTGGGGGGGGGGGGTTACTTTGGCCACCCTGTAATACTTCACCATGAAGGCCGATGCGGGTAGGCGAAGGTAGTAAGATGCGGGAGCGTAGACGTGCAGTACAACGGGCTTTTACCGCGAGGCAGAATCGGAATCGGACCAGAATCAGAAACATGTATGCATGCTGGAAGAATCCGATGAGCTATAAAGCTCTTTGTCACGGAGGTCCAGCAGAGGCTCCGTCTTGCCGGCTTCATGCAACGCAGGCTCTCCGCGCGTGTGTGTCGGGGGACAGGGCGATTCCGGGGGGCCCCTGGTGTGCAGCCCCCCAAACCCATCGCGGGACCCTTCCGCCGCCACCGCCGCCCCGGTGCTGCTGGGCGTGGTGTCGTGGGGGGACGGCTGCGCCGAGGTGGGGAAGCCCGGAGTGTACGCGCGCGTGCCTCGCTTCTCGCACTGGGCCCGGCAGCAGATGGCGCGTAAGGCTCCTCCTGCACGCCTGTCAATCGCTCGACGCTCGCCTGTCACTCACTCATCAATCACCTGTCACGTACCGCTCGCCTGTCAATCACGCACCACTGACCACTCCCACGATGAACACTCAATTCGGTTTGCTGTTTTTCGGCGCGTCTCTCACTCCTTGTACCAATTTAGTTTGTCGAGTTACAATGACACGTCTATAGATTAAGTGGCTCAGCTGTACGCGTGCACATTTGAATGTTTGTGCTGAGAACACCGCTCCATCGATTTCAGTGAACGCCGACTCATTTGAGAGCTTTATGTGAAAATCGGGTAAAATGTACAAAAAGTATTGACCTTTGACCCTGATGTTATTGCTGCTGCTGCTGCTGTCCCAGTTCCCCCGGGGAGCCGGGAGCCGACGTGCGCGGAGCTGAGACAACTTCGCGCCGTCGAGGCCGGTCCACTGCGCGAGAACAGAGACTCCCAGCTCTGCTCCTTCTACTCCCGGCCCTGCCGCCCCTCGCAGATGCCCCCGGGCGCCCCCTCGGTGAGAACCCCCGAACCCGGACAGAATCGCTCGCACGTCCCCCCTTGGGGACCCCCCGTAGCGAGAGACCTGGCCCAGGGACCTCTAAAGGGAACAACCACTCGCAGATACCCCTGGGGACCCCCATTCCCAGAGACCTGACCCAGGGAGACAACCACTCGCAGTTACCCCTGGGGACCCCCATTGTCAGAGACCTGACCCAGGGAGACAACCACTCGCAGATACCCCTGGGGACCCCCATAGTCAGAGACCTGACCCAGGGAGACAACCACTCGCAATTACCCCTGGGGACCCCCATAGTCAGAGACCTGACCCAGGGAGACAACCACTCGCAGATACCCCTGGGGACCCCCATTGTCAGAGACCTGACCCAGGGAGACAACCACTCGCAGATACCCCTGGGGACCCCCATTGTCAGAGACCTGACCCAGGGAGACAACCACTCGCAGATACCCCTGGGGACCCCCATAGTCAGCGACCTGACCCAGGGAGACAACCACTCGCAGATACCCCTGGGGACCCCCATAGTCAGAGACCTGACGCAGGGAGACAACCACTCGCAGATACCCCTGGGGACCCCCATAGTCAGAGACCTGACGCAGGGAGACAACCACTCGCAGATACCCCTGGGGACCCCCATAGTCAGAGACCTGACGCAGGGAGACAACCACTCGCAGATACCCCTGGGGACCCCCATAGTCAGAGACCTGACGCAGGGAGACAACCACTCGCAGTTACCTTTAGGGACCCCCACGATGGGATCACTGCGATCCAGAGACCCCTGAAAGATACCAACGATGATCCCCATTGATGGTGGACAACCACAAGTTCTTCCCACTTGGTGGTGGTGATGAGGCTGCAGCAACTCCAACTTCTGATGATGATGACGATGAAGGACGATGTTGTGTTCTTGCTTGTGTTATTTTATGGCTGCTGATGGTGCCGAGGATGCTAATGGTTGTTGATGGTGCTGATGATGGTGCTGATGATAATGCTGACGGTGATGACGCTGACGGTTGTTGATGGTGCTGACGGTGTGTGTGTGTGGTGTGTGGTCCAGGCCCCTCAGCTGGGTTTCCCGGCGGCCGGCGACGAGTGCCAGCGTGCGTCTCGCATCTCCTGCGCCAAGAAGAAGCGGGCGTGTGGTGAGTGGGACCCGGATCTCGGCTCACCCAGCTTCAAGGCTTCAATGATGCGAGCATTCAATGCATTCGCATGCGATGGCTTGCAAGTGCGCACGTGCTTGCATAAAGATAAAGATCCCCCGTGTAGCCTTAACAGACTGTAGGGGCAAGTGCTGTTCGCGAGCACCTATGAAGGCCGGAACGGTACACGAGGGGGTGGGTGGCCAGCACCACGCCCTACCGCCTTTGTCTCCCTAGTGGCAATGTTTACACACCGCACCAGGTACTCATTTGAGGTTGATTCGACCTAGGGGAGGCCCGGGACCGGTTCAGATAATCGTCACTGGTGTTGGCTGTGAGCGGGAATTGAACCCGGGTCGCCAGGTTCATAGCGCAGCGCGCTAACCGCTACACTACCGCTCCCCACCCCACGTGCTTGCATACACACTGGCACACACACACACATTAACCCGTTCGCGTTCTGGCACGTCTGCAAGTTGGAGCGTGGGTGTCCCGTTCACCGCCGAATCTCGGAACGTGCAAGCGACTCGGCGTTAATTTTATTTATAGAGGCGTAGAGAACTATAGCGATACGACCACACTTCATGATAGCTGGCGCCAAACTGTGGCGCACATGGCCTTGTGGTAGTCTCGGTACCGAAAAAGTGATTTTATTTCAGTTTAAAAAAAGTCACATTTTAGTTTTTCTAAAATAAAATATGTACGTGTACGTTATGGGAACGGAATCGGAAGAAATACTAAGATAACCGTTGACGTACATGTATGTACATGTAATCGGAATGAGAAAGGGTTCAAACGCGTGTGTTGTGTGTGAACTCGCACACACACAACACGTGCACCTGCACATGCACGCGCAACCACACGTGTACTTGTACAACACGCTTGTCAATCCACTGCTGGATGAGAGCCTCCCCACACAGTGCGGGTGGTGGGGGTTTATTTGACCATACTTCACCACGCTGGTCAGTGCGGGTTGGTGAGAGCGGGAACAAATAAATGTTGAAACATTTGAGTATAGGGTACAACAGTGGATTTTGCTGGACAGCCCGATTATGCCGCTCGCTTCACCCCGGTGTCTATAGCACCTGTTATGGAATAGTGGTCACCCATCTAACCACGATCCAGGCCGCAAAACCCTGCTGAGCTTAGATTGGTAGCTGGTGCATTGTCTAAAGTGTAAACCATCAGTACTGTGGAAACAAAGACGGCCGGGCGTGCTGTTGACCACCCCACCCTCGAGTGTGCCCTGCCGGCCTTCATAGGCGCCCGCTAACAGCACTCGCCTCAACAGCCTGTTAAAGGCTACACGGGGGATCTTTGTATTTATATGCGTTTGCAAGTGATTGTGCACTCGCCCGTGTGAATGTAGGAAATCCTGCGTATGTGCCCAACACCAGAATTGTTCGTACACGCATGTATAGGTGTACACGCGTGCGTTGACGTGTGTGGAGGTGCGCACGTGCTCTCGCGCGCGCGTGCATTGACGTGTGTGGAGGTGCGCACGTGCTCTCGCGCGCGCGTGCGTTGACGTGTGTGGAGGTGAGCACGTGCTCTCGCGCGCGCGTGCATTGACGTGTGTGGAGGTGCGCACGTGCTCTCACGCGCGCGTGCGTTGACGTGTGTGGAGGTGCGCACGTGCTCTCACGCGCGCGTGCGTTGACGTGTGTGGAGGTGCGCACGTGCTCTCACGCGCGCGTGCGTTGACGTGTGTGGAGGTGCGCACGTGCTCTCACACACGTGCCTGCGTGCGTGCTCATTCGTTTTGCCACAGAGTTGCGGGATGTACTGGGGGGCCTGGTGCGATCCCTGGGTCGGGAGTCGGAGCTGAGGAGGAGACACGGGGGCTTCCCGGGGCCTCTGAGCGCCCCCATCTCCCACCCACTACAACAGCAGCAACAGGAACAGCAGGAGTGGGAAGAACTGCAGCAGATACAGCAGTGGGAGCAACAGGAGGATGAGAAGTGGCAACGACAGCAGCAGCCGCAGCGGGGAGTGCGACAGCAGCAACCAGAACAACAGGTGCAGCAGGAACAGCAGCAGCAACAGCAGCAGCAGCAACAGCCACAGGGACAGCAGCAGCAGCAACTGGAACAGCAACCTGAACAGCAACAGCAGCCGCAGCAGCAGGAACAGCAGCCAGAACAGCAGCAACGGCGGGTATTTAAAGTGACTGAACTTCTGGAACCGCTGAATCGGAGACAACATATGCTCGGGCGACAGCAACCAGACCTCATTCACATGCAGCACCTACAGCTAGAGCAGCAACAACAACAGCAACCACGACATCAACAACAGGCGCAGCATCAACTGCAACATCAGCTACAACAACTGCAGCAGCAGCACCAAACGATTCCGCTTCAGCAGCAAATGAATCAAACTCGGCAGAAGCAGCAAACGAATCAGAGCCAGAAGCAGCCGAATCTAACCGAGCAACGACATCAACCGAATCAGATTCAACTGCAGCAGAATCAAACCCAGGACGAACTGAATCAGATGCAACTGCAGAAGAATCAAACCCAGGAAGAACTGAATCAGATTCAACTGCAGCAGAATCAAACCCAGGAAGAACTGAATCAGATGCAACTGCAGAAGAATCAAACCCAGGAAGAACTTAATCAGATTCAACTGCAGCAGGATCAAACCCAGGAAGAACTGAATCAGATTCATTTGCAGAGGAATCAAACCCAGGAAGAACTGAATCAGATTCAACTGCAGCAGGATCAAACCCATGAAGAACTGAATCAGATTCAACTGCAGAGGAATAAAACCCAGGAAGAATTGAATCAGATTCAACTGCAGCAGAATCAAACCCATGAAGAACTGAATCAGATTCAACTGCAGCAGAATCAAACCCAGGACGAACTGAATCAGATTCAAGTGCAGCAAAATCAAACCCAGGACGAACTGAATCAGATTCAACTGAAGCAAAATCAAACCCAGGAAGAATTTAATGATATTCAACTGCCGCAGAATCAAACCCTTCAAGTGAATCCATCCCATGATAAATATCAAATGCAATTGCAGCAGTTGAATAAAACAGAAGACCTCAATCAGACACAGCAGCCGCTGAACGAAAGCACAACTCTCCATGGTCTTATTCCGCTCAATAAATCCCAGCTGTATCAATCACATCAGCGGTTAAATAATACATTTCACGAGCAGCTGGATCAAACCGAGCAAAGACAGAACCAAAGCCAGGGACTGCATCTGTCCGAGCAACTGAATCAAGCTGAACTGCATCTACAACAGCACCAGTCCCAGCAGCAGCAGCCAGATCATTTACAACAACTGTATCTAACCCAACCTCAACCGCATCAAACTCAGCAAGTGCCGAGTAAAACTCCACAGCAGCCGAGTCAAAATTATCTGAGTCAAAATCAGCCGAGTCAAAATCATCTGAGTCAAAATCAGTCGAATCAAAATCAATCGGATCCATCCCATGAGGATCTACATCAAAGTGAACAACTCAATCAGCGGCTAAATCAGTCCCATCACGAGGGGTACCTATCAGACCCAGAGTTAGATCGAACCGAACAAGTGAATCAATTCCACGCGGAGCTGAATGGATATCACCAGCAGCTGGATCACACTAAACAGTTGAATCAATCCCAGCATCCGCTCAATCAAACCCACCGGCAACTGGATCAATCCCACATAAGTAATCGGTCCCAAATGCTCGATCAATCCCGACACCTTCAAAGTGAAACCCAACAACCGAATGGTCCCTACCAGCAGCTGAATAGATCCAACCAGGATCTAAATGAAACCCAGAAAACGAATCAAATGCAACAGGTGCATCAATCCAACCACGAGCAACAGCAGGTGGATGAAACCCTCCAGCCGACCCCGGGTCTGCCGCTCCTCCCGCCTTCTTCCTCCTGTCCCGGGCTCCAAGCGGCTGAGGAGGCCCTCTCTCGGGAGTCCGGCTCCTGGAGCTGGGTCTTCAGGGTTCCCGAGGAGAAGTTGCTCATGGAGTTCACGCACGTGAGGCCCTCACCCGCCCCCATGGCCCCCATACGAACCCCGCGGTTACCAGAAACAGAATATGTATTTTTATAACAGGCAATCGTCATCAGGTAGAAAACAAACCGAGTGAACTTATAATTACAACTTCTTGGTTCTTTCTTTTATTTTATTATGTTTTATTTTCATTATTTAGATTCTACGTGACTTTACCGAAAGAACCAAGAAGATGAATCCCTGCAGTCACAAAAGCTTTAAATAGAAATTTAGAAATACAAAGCAAATACAACACAGAGAGTCGGCTAACACAACAGTCAGCACCTTACCTGGTTGATTACGTTCTTCCAAAGATTGCTAAATTTGAGAAAGAGACACAACACATACACGGAGACACACAGACAGACACACAAGTAGAGAGAGACAACACAGAGACACAGAGAGAGAGAGAAACACACATCGACACAAAAAGTTCCCAACGCCTCTGTGTCGAGGCACTCGAAATTGAATGATTTGCATGTGAACGCATCAATAAATACATTCATAAAACCACCCCCTCCCCCAACCCCACCACTTGTCAACATCCCCCCCCCCTCATTTTCTCTGCCCCCCCCATCCCATCGTACCCCCCCCCCCTCCCCGCTCTAGGTGTGGCTGGAGTCTCGCACGCGGAGTGCACGTGTACGGGCCTTGGTGAACGGGGAGGCCCTGCTCTTCTCAACAGCGCTGGGCCCCGAGGGGGACTCCCTCCAGACTCGGCTCCTCCGCATAATCGCCCCAGCCCTGCGGGCGGCGCGGGCACCCCGAGGCCCCCGGGGTCAGGGCCAGACTCGGGCGGCTGGGTCGAGGTCGGGTTGAAGGGGTTTTGGGGTCAGGGTTTGCCGTCAAGAGTCGAGGTTTGGGCCGATGTCTCGGCTCTCTCAAGGTCGGGAGGGGTTGGGTCAATGCCGTGACTGGTTCTGGTTGGTGTGGGGGGGGGGGTTGAGGTTTGAGAGGTCAAGGTCATGGCTGGCTGAGTCAGAGTCAGCGTATAGGTGCGTGGTCAATCAGGGTCAAGGTCTGATTGAAGGTCACGATGATGTCAGAGGGGTCAAAATCACGATCAAGGTTGTGGCCAGGGTCAATGTTGAGCCGATGGTCGTGTTCTACCACGCACAGCCTCGTCACGCGAATGCAGGATGAGAGCCATCCCCCACCACGTGGGTCACGGGGGGTTATTTGACCACGCTGGTCAGTGCAGGTTAGCGAAGTCGGGGTGGCTGGGGTTGAAATACACGTGGCCCCATCGAAATACAGTACATTACAACAACGTATCCTTTGTGTCTTATTACATAATAATAAAATAACAACAAATATTAATGTTATTTAATGAAAATATTATTTAGTAGTAATATTTTTTGTTATTTTCTTTGAACCTATCTACGTGACTTTACCGAAAGACCCAAAGAATATGAATTCCTGCAGTCACGAAAGCTTTCGGTCAAGGTTTATTGCAACAAAACGGTTTTGCTGTACCGCCCTCTGCTGCCCACAACATAGAGGAGCCAACGCAACCGCCTCTGACAACCGGCGTAGACGGTGTTCAGATAAAGAACGTGAATCAAAAATGAATGATGAATCGCAACGAGCTCTCACCCGCCTTAGTGAATAAAGGGCGTCGATGGCAGGAGGTTAACGCATCGTGACGGGTTCTTGCCTGGTTTAAATGATAAAGGGATGCCAATTACAAGGGAATAATGAATCGCATTAGACTTTCGCATGGTGAAATAAATGCCGACAAGAGAATCTCGGCGAGCTCGTGTCTGATTAAAGAAAGGACGCAGAGCAGCAAAGACGAAGAGTTATGGGTCTGGTCGGAATCAGGACGTCAAACGCAAGAGACGATGCATCTCAAATGAACGTTCACCTGGTTCAATAAAGGCTGTCAGTCAACAAGAGATGATTGGCTCTCAACGGTCTCTTGCCTGGTCAAGGAAACTGAAATGTAAAATTGTAACTTGCTGACCCGCCCGTACTGGATAACTGTGCAAAAACAGAACGTCAATGTTCATCGGATCCCTCCAGTCTAAATGAAGATTCTGATTCTGATTAAACGCGTAATTTTCTCGTTAAAAACAAATCTGTACAAAACATCTGCTTGTTTATTATCGATACAATTGTAATGTTATTTTATGTAAAGTATTTTCTATCATGTTTTTTTTAATCGGTTATTTTTTTAATGTACAGTTTTGTTTTGTTGGTAAATAAAACATTTAATTTTTGGTATCAAATTTGTGAGCGTGATATCATTTGTGACACCACCGCACAGGAAAGGGCCCTCATCTGGAGAACCTCTAACAGGGTTTTCAAACAAAGGACTCGGTTGTGGCCGCATGGGCGAATAAATCGTCTGAGGCCATAAGCACTTAGAATGTCACACATAATCACGGGCAGCCGGCTCGGCACACCTCAGAAGCACGCCTTTTAGTAGCACAGCAAGATGACATCAGTGTGGCGGTGATGAGTAACATACACTCGGAAGGCAAGGTCAGTGGGCAAACGTACAACCATTGCGCTGCAAATAAAGTCCATAACGTACGATCTGAGGCAGTGTTCGTCAGTCATTTGCAGAGTGGGGCCACTTTTGGCGATAGAACATCATCAATGTGAGGGCCGCCACCCATTTGAAACCATTGGGGGTTTGACAGCACGATGTTGATGGGCTCGCATAATGCGCATGAACAATTTACGTTGACTCAAGAGCGCAGAAGCGTGGTCACCACATCTACGCCTCTATATAAGGAACGAAACAGGTGGACTTCTCCACAAATGTGGCTGTCGCCTGATGAAGCCAGTTGTAATTACTGGCGAAACGTCGTACGCAAGATTGTAAATGTTGTGGCTTGGCTCTTCAATACACAACCGGTGGTGCTGTACCAGTAACAAATTGGCCACGTTCTTATTATTGGTTCTTTCGGTAAAGTCACGTAATGATGATTGCTTGTGTTGCAGTCGAAACGTCGTGATAATTTTATTGTTTTATATTTTTATTATTTTATTGTTTCCCTTCTACGTGACTTTACCGAAAGAACCAAGAATAAGAACGTGGCCAATTTGTTACTGGTACAGCACCACCGGTTGTGTTTTCACACCTGATGATAATTGCTTGTGTTTCACACCTGATGATGATTGCTTGTGTTGCAGTCGAAACGTCGTGATAATTTTATTGTTTTATATTTTTATTATTTTATTGTTTCCCTTCTACGTGATTTTACCGAAAGAACCAAGAATCTGAATCCCTGCAGCCACGAAAGCTTTAAGTCAAAATTTTGGCCACGTTGTGTTCACGTGACACAACCCTTACTAGTTGGCTGTGTCGGGTGGTGGCGGGTTTAAACGACACATTTATATATTTACGCGATCTAACCCAAAAAAACCTCTATTATGGATGATGGGGGTGTTTCCCACATGTTGTGTATTGTCAGGGATCGCACGTCAGTGGCCCCATTAAAGGCCACTAGGGGACGCCAGTGGCCCGCGACCCTTGCAGTGAAGAATATCGCTCGAAGTTGTTGCTCATTCGGCACGGCACTTGGAATCTGCCATTCGACTGTGAAATATTTCACATCAACAACAACAAACCCCATTCGCCACTAAGTGGCGGTGACGTCACCACGACGCTTGTGCCAGGCCACGTGCACCTTGAGGCCACGTGAAGTGTCGAACGCCCGCGGGCAGGAGGTCACGGGGCAGACCCAGGTGCCACGGGTCGACACTTATACACATACATATAGAGTACACTATGTATACACATATAGAGTACAGGTGTACTCTATATGTGTGTACATTTATATTGGACTGTACCGCCTACGCTCCTCGCCTTTAACGCGCACGTACCAGCGTGGTAAAGCGTGCTCAGTATAACTCGCACCACCATCACGGCGTGGAAAGAGGCCCTTGAGGTCCAGGCAGTGGGTTGACGTCATCTGCACTGGCTGCAATGATTCAGCCGGCGCGATTTTGGACGAAGCTTTCGTTGACTTAAAGCTTTCGTGACTGCAGGAATTCATATTCTTTGGGTCTTTCGGTAAATTTTAGATTTGAAGCTTTCGTGACTGCAAGGATCCATACTCTTTGGTTCTATTCGGTAAAGTCACGTTGTTTTATTTTTTATCTTTCGGTAAAGTCACGTAGATCGTTCGTTCGTCATCGGGAAGATGACGAACGCTTGTGTTACGATCGAAACGTCGTAGTTTTTAGTTGTTTTTTGTTATTTTCTTTGAACATATCTACGTGACTTTACCGAAATAACCAAATAATATAAAGCTTTCCTTAATTTTCAATAAAAAAGCCGAACTTATGTTGACAAGATGTTAATTACCTCGCCTGGTGTACAGGAGTTTGTGGATTCGATCCCGACCCGGACGCCTGTATATTTGGAGTCTGCATGTTCTCTCCGTGATTGCGTGGATCTTTCTACGGGATCTCCGGTTTTTCCCTCCAAATTTAGAAACACGCGTTTAGAGTCAGTGGCTGCTTTCATTTGCACGTGATAAGCTCCTTCGATGAGCTATCATTTGTGGCCAGGTCGCTTCTGAAAAAGAGCTTCAAAGCTCAGTGGGCCTTAGCTGGTAAAATAAAGAAAACATTAAAAATGCCGACCACAGCAGGATTCGAACCTGCAGTCTTCTGATCCGAAGTCAGACGCCTTATCCATTAGGCCACGCGGCCCCACTTGATAACACTGCATCTTCAAAATAACATTTGAGTCTTGAGACCCATCTGGATGCTCGAAGTCATTGTGTCTCCCGGTTCAAACGGGCAACAGAGCGGCGATCATCTTTATTGGCTTGCCCTAAACTCGCGGTCTAACCTAAAAAAACAACCTTATTTTGAATAATATTGGTCGCTAAAGCCCACGTGTAACACTTATGAACCTCCAAGTTGGGAATTACTGGGTGAGGATGGCGGAGACAAACAAAAGATGACGGAAATTTGTTCACTACCAAACCGTATACCACTTAACCGTCAAAGTAAAAGAAATCAGTTTTGTTCCAGAATAATAAGACAGTATTTATTTATACTGGAGGAATCCGATGATCTCTAAAGGTCTTATTTCATAGATGTCCACTAGGGGACAGGTCAGAACGTTACAACAAAAAAAACAATACAAAAACACAATCGGTAGCCAGGGCACCACTGTCAATTCTCTCCATGTTACAAATAACAATGCCTCTAAATTACAGGTTTCTGTCCGTGATAACCGACGTAGATAAATGCCAGCCACTTGCCATCACTGTTTGTCGTGGCCCGGATTCGAACTTCTGTGGCCGGGTTCATTGTGCAGCGCGCGTTAACCACGGCGACGAACCAGCTCCTAAAGCCCTCTCGTTGCGAACTGCCGACCTCGGCGTTGGCATTAAGCTCCTGAACATATTACCATTACGCGTAGAACTGCTTTTTGTGTTTGTCTTTTACACCGGCTATGCGTAGAGTGGTCACCCATCCAAAAAAACGATTAGCCAAGCTCAATCCTGAGCACTGTGTGCGGTGCATTGGAATAGCGAAACAATGACCGGTATTAAACAAGCAATGTCTCAAGCGAGTCTAAAAACTCCTTTGTAGGATGATGGAGTCCAGAGCACGGAGGCCGCGTGGCCTAATGGATAAGGCGTCTGACTTCGGATCAGAAGATTACAGGTTCGAATCCTGCCGTGGTCGACTTCGACTTTATTTTTATGAATGAAACGTATTCAATTTTTTTTTTAAGTTTTTCCGTTCTATTGCAATAAATCGCATCCCAATGACCCATGTTGTTGGTCAATCTCACCAGTTAAAGGATGTGTCCTGCCCAACTGGCACTTGCTTTTCTGAACGATTAAAGTGATTTTTGGTAATAATAGGGTTTTTTCCCTTTTTTCTGGCAACAAAACTGAAACCTTTTTTTACAAGGATTCATGTCTGCATTAACCACAATACCTGCAGTCAAAATGCAAACAAAAAAACATACTATGATAATATATGCATTGTCCTTGAAATTGATTGGTCCACACCAAGGGACGGCTTTCTTTTGGCTCAAAAAGAAAGCCGTCGAGGCTCAAAAGAAAGCCGTCCCTTGGTGTGGACCAATCAGTTTCAAGGACAATGCATAATATATTATCATAGTATGTTTTTTGTTTGCATTTAGACTGCAGGTATTGTGGTTAATGCAGACATGAATCCTTGTAAAAAAAAAGGCTTCAGTTTTGTTGCCAGAAAAAAGGGGAAAAACCCTATTTTTACATGTTGGTACTGGCAAAGGAGGTCTAATGATGATGATTTTTGGTAATTTAGTATTTGTTCTCGAATGCTGGCGTTCTTCCTTCCGTCCTTAGGCGACAACCCGCTCCAAAATCATTCGCGTGGCTCGCTGCAGACCTCGACAATGGCATTTAGCTCTTGAACATATTTACCATTTCCTTAAACGTCGCTATTAAACACATTTAGTGACGAGTGTGTGTCAACGCAGCAATATGAGAATGGGATTTTGAGCAAAGGTCTCGATGAAGTTTCACGTTTCATGTATTAGGTATAGCCCTGTGAGCCATGCGGCTCTTAAGTCCGGTGCAACCGCAACAAACAAAATTTGAACATCTTAAAGCGACAACGCGTAACAGAAACATCCTGGAATAAGCCAGCAAATATTCCACACACACACAAAAAAACTTATTAAAACGCTATGTGCAACAATCACAATGTGGTGCAAGCCAACAACAACAACCATAAGACAATTTAGATTTACCATATGTTTTCGAATCACCAAACTAAAGCTATGAAGAGCACAGAAAGACGCCACATCACACACACGCGAGCGCAGACGCTTAGGCTATTTTTTTCGCGCCACACTTAGGCTTGAGGAACCTCTCGGCTCCGGATAAGCCCTTCAAAAATTGAACCATCAAACTCGTTACACGGAGCTGGCGCGCGTCACCAGTTCACCTATTGTAGAAGGCTGACTTTTCTTTACAATATGGGTCGACATTTTTGTTCACTTCGCACGCCGGATGAAAAAAAAATTGTCCAAATTTATTTAATTACCACACATAAGAGGTGTTTAGTCGTCCGATTAAACCAATTGCGTCAGATATTAAAGGGAACTCGCGCCGCTATTCGCTATTTTATTTCACGCACGATGATAATGCGTTGCACCACGTGTTCGCGGACGTCAGCGCGTGCTACCCAGCAAACGATGCATCATTCAGAATGGAATCGGTG